ACACAGCAATTCTTGATATATCCAATTTTATATTACAAACTCTTTTTAAAATAAAAGAAAATCTAGGTCCCTAAACAATAACCCTTGGTGATTTCAATAACACATTCTCACAAATAAATATAATGCAAAAAAGTCTATACTCTTAGGATTCAGAAGATTACACAAAGGAGCAAGAAATGTTTTCTGATCCACACATAACCCAGAAAGAAGACAGTGAAAGGTGACTCAGATCTGAGATGTGAGTAAAAAAAAAAAAAAAAAAAAAAAACACTCTTAACCCTAATGTTACAAATTCTGAGACATAGAAAAAAAGTAAAGCTTGATTACAAGAGAAAATAAGGTCAGAGTTCCCTGACCCCAAATCCATATTAGGATAGAGAAAGGGTGAAGGAACAACAGAGAAAGAAAGAAGAAACAGAAAAGTACATATACTCTCCCTCTTAACAACATTTGAAAAGAAAATTTTTAAAAAAGAAAAGAAAAAAAAAAACATACCAGCTGGGCACAATTCAGGAGCCACTTGTCAAAAGAAACTAACTTTATTTTTAGAACCACACACGCCAAACAAAACAGCTCCTCAGTAAAAACCCTCAGAGCCCAACTGCCACCACCAGCTTCCCACAAGCCTCTCACCCACACAAGCCTCTCCACCTCCCAATATCCTCCTGCTCTTGAGGCCGATTGGCTGGGTCGTGTGGGCAGAGCCAAAGAAGTCCCCCAATGAGCAGCTCCGTGGTCTGAAAGGGCAGGGAAACAGCCCAATGARCAKCWCYGYRGAGGAGCCAATCAGCTAGATGTTKCTGGGGCCGCTGTGAGCCAATCATCAGCCAGCAGCTGGAAGTTTGCTGGCAGCTGGAAGTTTGCTGGGGCCCCTTTGGCTGTGGCTCTCAACACTTCTAGCTGCCAACTGATTGGCTCCTATGCGGTGATACTTATTGGGTTGTTTCCCTGCCCTTTCATACCACGGAGCTGCTCATTGGGGGACTTTTTTTGGCTCTGCCCATGTGACCCAGCCATTCAGCCTCAAGAGCAGGAGGAGTGGGGGATGTTGAGAGGCTTGTGGGAAGCTGGTGGTGGTAGTTGGGCTCTGAGGGTTTTCCTGAAGAGCTGTGTGGTGAGGTGTGTGTGTTCTAAAAATAAAGTTCATTTTCTTTGTCAAGTGGTTCCTGAATTGTGCCCAGCCAGACTGTGGCAATAATTAACAGGGTTTCAGGGACACCATGCTGTGCTGAAATCAGGCCTAGAGAATTGTAGCCTGGAGAATCACCTGGAAAGAGACATTGACACTTATATCAGGTGACCCAGGATAGGTGACAGGTCACTGTTTCCATGCCATAGTCTCAAGTGTCCCTCCTCTTACGGGTGAGATGGTTGCAACATCTATTGGTCTGGTGTTCCTAATGAGCTCTCATGCCTGGTTTCTTTGATATGGTCTTGATAAAGCTGAGTCCATGTGTTCCTCACTTAGTTCAATAAGCTAACAGGCAGTCATGTTTTATTAGCAAAAATAAGTTATGTATTATCTGTGCCTTAGTATTGTGCTGGGGGTTATTCCTCTTGATAAGTTCTGTGTGTCTAACATCTAGTGGTCATCTACTTATTCAGGAATTCTAAATTTTCTTCATAGTAGATCACGTGCAACAATTAATGCATTTTAGATTTTAAAAAAACAGAATGGAATGCAAAGTAGGCATTCATTTTTAACATGACTCATGGGATTTCTGGTGTGAAAGTGGGGATTCACAGTATATTCTGTGCACCACTCAGGGCTTTGTAAGGTTAGAGATAATAACAAGCAATAATAAGAGATGTTTCTGTAAATTTTGGCTTATTTCTCAATGCATATATGCACACTGTTAAATATTTAAAATTATTTTTGAGTGCTATTTATTGATATAACATGTTGTTCCTTGAGGAAGAAAGTTATGAAATATGATATCATTATAAGACTAGATAGGTATAGAATTGATACATCAATTGATGATACAGATAGGAGGATCCAATATGGTGGGCTAGAGAGAGGCTTCATTCTGTATCTCTCCATGACCTGGGATTCAAGTAGTGAGAATACTGTTTCTCTGTAAGTTATTAGAGGATCCTCAACAGTTGCTTCCACGCACAAATCACCACTTCTGTACCTGCAGAGGCCTCCAGGCCTCAGCATCAGTGCAGGACTTGGTCACTCACCCACAGAGGTGCACAAGAAGGACCACTGGCATGAGCACGTGGGAAGGACTCCTGGCAGTCCACTTGCACAGAAATCCCAGTTGCTGCTCTCACATAGGATACCTGGCCACTGTCCATGCACAAAACCTCCAGCCCCACTCCCATGAGGACCTCCATCTACCAATATGGGTCTCTCTGAGTAGCCTTCATATTTGGACACTGTAACCACTGTTAAAGTTTCCTATGCACAGTAGCCTGCACCTGGAGACACAGCACAGGTTCTGGTAACAGCCACCAGCCAGAAAATTGCATGCCACAGAGCTGCATCTCTGAATACACAGCCCAGTGCCACAGCCCAGCCCTACCTGACCTGACATAGTATATGATCTATTTTAGAGAAGCATTCATCAGTGAAAGCAGCTGCTTCCATCTTGGGACACTATTGTTGCCATGTTTGTCCTAACTTGGGACACTGGCTGGGGCTTAGAATTATCTATAGTACTCAACTACCCCCTCTCCCTGGCAGCCACTAACCTAGCACAATACTTGCAGCTATGCAGCCAGTATGTTGCCCCCCCAAACCTGGTCCTGAACAGTCCAATACAAAAATAGTGACTATTATGCAACCCTCAGAGCAAAGCCTACAAGACCTACAGAAATAAAGATTTTTGATTGGGAAGTATAAAAGGAAGGAGTTTAGAGACTGAGATAGAGTTTAGAGACTAAATTAGAGACCAGGAATTGTGAGGTCTACTGGCAATATAAGGAGATAAGACCAAGCGCCCACATCACAAGAGTGGGACCCAAAGGAGATCCATAGGGGAAGGGCAAGTGTTTACTCCACCTCCAGGAGCTCAGCCCCCAAGACCAACCCTCCCACCATAATAACCTTGACCATCCTGAGGGTGGAGATACCAGTCAACAGGCAACCATACCTATTGGATGAGAAGGGAAGCAGGAAAGATACAGATCTCCAACAAAAATAAACCTTGTATCTTCTTTTGATATTTTTTAAATTTTCTCTCTCTTTTCTCCCTCCATCACATCCCCAACATTAGTGAAACCATGTACTTTTCATGAATTATGCTACTGAGAATGGGAATGTCTGAACTTTATTTTCCATACTGTATACTTTGTCTTCATATTCTGACATTCTTTCTTCTAAGTGATTTAGTATTTTGGTTATGTTTTCTATTGATTTTTATATGATTTATTGTATCCTTCATTTCAAGAATTTCTGAATTTTTTTCAGAGTTTATACTTCTCTTTTGAACTAATCTTTTCCTACTGTATTTGCTCTCTGATCTCATTGTTGGAGTGATCAATTTTTGCTTGTATTTGCTCATTGAGGTCATTCTTTAATTCACAGACCATTTGAATTATGAAGCTTCTGAACTCCTTCTCTGACATGTCATCAACTTCACTATTCATAAGTTCTGTTATTATTGTGTCCTGGTTTGTTTGGGAGCACTTTCTTCCCTTGTTTTTTCATGTTGTTTATGTGTCTTCCTTTCTTGCAGTGTGGGTCTAAGATATTACACTTTCTTCCCTATATTCTTGTAGTATCTGTGCAGATTGTCTGTACCTCACCTTGATGTTGGTCTTCCAGACCCTGCTTGTGTCCCTCAGTGGATAATGCATCCTGTGTCTGAGACCTGAGTAAGTTGGAGTGGGTGGATCTAGGCCAATGGGCTTGACCTCCCATGGTAGTCTGCTTGTAGGAAGGGGTAATCCTGTGTGAAAGGCTAGGCTCTGGCAGTGTTTGCCCCAATAAGGGTAGGATGAACTAGACCTCCTGAAATCCTGGTTCACAAGTGGGCTGTTGTGAGCTTTCTGGGCTTAATCTAGGCTCTCATGGTAGTGCACTGGTCAGAAGGGGTGGTCCTGCACCAGAGGCTACTCTCTGGTTGTCTGCCACACCAGGAAATGAGTGGACCCAACCTGCTGTCCATCTGGGCCCTTCAGAGGAAAGTGTGGGTAGATCTCAGCCATTGGGCTTGACTCTTTGTGGTAGTCTGCTGGTAGGAAGGGGCAGTTCTGTGCCAAAAGCTATGCTTGGCAGTGTCTGCCCCACTGGAGGAGGGGTAAACCAGGCTTACTGAGATCCTAGATCCCATGTAAGCTGGTGTGGTTGGTCTCCACATCCATTTTCCTTTAGAGCTAGAAATACATTTCTACACCTTCTAGCATTGAATGTCTGGGATGAGAAATCAGCTGAGATCCAAATGATTTCCTCTTATAGGTAATTTGATTTTTTTCTCACACCACTTTTAAAATTTTATTCTTATTCTCATTGTCATTACAATACTTCTTGGTGTGGGTGTGCTCTCATTTTTTTTTCATTTGGGTCCTATAAGAATCTTTTGTTTGATTTTCAATTTTATTCTTAAATTTGGAAATCTTTCTGTTGCCAGTCATTCAAAAAAACCTGTTCATTCTTTTGGTTTGTATCACCACTCTTTCATCTATCCCAACAACTTACATTTGGTCTTTTCATGTTATCCCATAATTCTTGAAATTTCTGTTGCTGGTTTCATACTGTATTGAGTTCAGACCCTGACCATTATTTTTCATTTGTGACATTTGGGACATTTGTGATATTTGTGATACTATGCATGAGCTTGTGTTATGCCACCTTTTGTCATGCTAATAATCAATGATACTGATGACATAAATATCATTCATACAGAGATCCTTTATACAGTCAATACATCTTCCTGGCTCACAAATTTTCTAACCCCTGCTATGAAAGCTAAGCATATATTTATCCTCACAGTACCCCAGCAATCTGGCTTCCAGTAAACCTGTCCAGAGTGTGGAGCAATCCATGGCACATGGATATGGAGAATCTTCTGAATGAGATCTTGCACCTGACAGGGCCTGCAATTAGCTTCATCATCACTAGAATTATTGCCCTGGTAGCTGCCATTGCCACCACAGCCACTGCTGCTGTTTTGCTCACTCATAGTATGTAGACAGCTCAGATTGTGAACAATTTGTCATATTGCCATTGCAGAAGAATTTGTCATTGAAAATGACTTAAATGAGACCAGACCAGAGGAGGAAGCCCAGCAACAAGCCAGACCAGAGGAGGAAGCCCTGCACCAGGCCAGGCCAGACCGGAGGAGGAAGTCCATCAACCCTGAAAACCCATCAAAGGGGGCGTGGCTACCAGCACAGTTCTGCCACTGATCCAGGTACCCGGTTTCAAACTCCCCCAACCTTAGCTTTGATAACTCAAAATATTTCCCACAAGCTTTTAGGGGGTGTAGCTATCAATGCAAAACAACTGTACAGGCACATGGTTTCTACCTCAGAGGCTAGAGTAGGGAGGATACAGGTGGAAACTCATATCCTTTTACTCTGGCTATATACACCACCCTAAACACAGAGGCTCAAGCTAGGAATAGACAATGCCACCTACTGGAAGAAAGGAAAATAGAATTCTGAGAGACTATTTTTTTGTCTTTCTGTCTTTTGTTCTCTCTTTCACAACCTCAACATATGAGAAACCAAGAACTGTGCATGAACAACCGAATTACCAAAGTAATATAATATAGAGGAATTGCATATACCCCACCTTCTCCCCATTTTTTCCTTATTTCTTTCTTACTTTCTTTTTCCTTCTTCCTTTTTACTCTTTTCTTCCTTGTTATTTATTTTTCTTTTCTTCATTTGTATTCCTTCTATCCCACTTTCAATCCCCTAACTTTTACTATATATACATAGGGTAACTATCTAAATATAGATAGGAGATTGAGTCTATACATTCTTCCATAAATTTTCAGTCTATTAGTTAGATTTCCCCAATGTGGCTAAGTTAGTTTAACTTCATACCCTCACTTCTTTCCCTCTAAGTATAACATGCTTCATCTGAAATTCAGTTTTCTAATGCCACCAAATATAAAACTAATGACTATATATTTAACTAATATATAATAATTGGTTTCAATTATTAGTTAAATAATTTCATTCAGACAATGAAAGATCACTTTGACAATGAATTACATAAAAAAATCCAAGAAGCAAAAGATGAATTCTTCAGGGAGATAGTGTATATTAAAAAAACAAAAAACAAAAAACAGAAATCCTGGAAATGCAGGAAACAATAAACCAAATTAAAAACTCAAATAAGAGTATTACAGGCAGAGTAGAACACTTAGAAGATAGAATATCAGACAACAAAGACAAAGTTTTTCAACTTGAAAAGAACATAGACAGCTCAGCAAGAATGTTAAGAAATTATGAGCAGAACATCCAAGAATCATGGGACAACATAAAGAGACCAAACTTAAGAGTTATTGGAATACAAGAGGGTATAGAGATCCAAACCAAAGGAATGAGCAATATATTCAATGAAATAATACTAGAAAACTTCCCAGACTTAAAGAATAAAAAAGAAATCCAAATACTAGAAGTCTACAGGACATCTAATGTATAAAATCATAAAAGATCCACATCAAGACACACAATAATAAAGATGACCAACATATAGAATGAGGAGAGAATCTTAAAAGCCACAAGAGAGAGGAAGCAGATTACATTTAGGGGTAAATCAATCAGGATAATGTCTGATCTTTCAACACAGACTCTGAAACAGAGATTCTGGAACAACATATTTCAAACGCTGAAGGAAAAAGGGTTCCAACCAAGAATCATGTATCCAGCCAAATTAAGCTTCAGGATTGAAGATGAAATAAAAATCTTCCATGATAAACAAAAGTTAAAAGAATTTTTAGCTAGAAAACCAGCTCTTCAAAACATCCTTGGCAAAACATTAAAGGAAGAGGAAATGAAAAATAACAATGAAAATCAACAGCAGGAGGTAGTACAATAAAGGAAAAACTAATCATAGAGGAAAAACAAATCATGTTAAGTAACAAATATGGCTGGAAGTACAAACCATATCTCAATAGTAACCCTAAATGTTAATGACTTAAATGCACCAATCAAAAGACATAGGCTAGTAGACTGGATTACAAAAAAGATCCAACAATATGCTGCCTACAGGAGACTCATCTGATAGGAAAAGACATACACAGACTGAAGGTGAAAGGTTGGGAAAAATCAAACCACTCATATGGACCTTGGAAGCAAGCAGGGGTGTCCATACTTGTATCAAATAAAATAGACTTCAAGCCAAAGTTAATCAAAAGAGATAAACAAGGAAACTACATACTGCTCAAGGGAACCATACATCATAAGTCTTATGATCATTAATATAATATATGTCCCAAACAATGGTGAAGCTATGTTCATCAAACAAATTCTTCTGAAGTTCAAAAGTCAAATAGACCAAAACACAATAATCAATGGAGATTTTAACACACCTCCCTCATCACTAGACAGATCTTCCAAAAAAAAAGTTGAATAAAGAAACCATAGAGCTCAATAATACAATAATAACTTAGACTTAAATGACATATACAGAATAAACCACCCAACATCAAGTGGATACATTTTCTTCTCAGCAGCACATGGATCCTCCTCAAAAATAGACCATATATTATGTCACAGGAAAAATCTTAGCAAATACAAAGAAGTAGAGACACTACCATGCATTTTATCTGATTATAATACAATGAAATTGGAAATCAATAATAAAATAAGAAAGAAAAAAACCTACATCACATGGGAGAATAACCAATATGCTACTGAATGAACAAAGGGTTACAGAAGACATCAAAGAGGAAGTTAAAAAATTCTTAGAGGTAAATTAAAACTCAGACACAACATATCAAAATCTCTGGGACACTATGAAAGCAGTACTAAGAGGAAAATTCATTTCATGGAGTTCATTCCTTAAAAGAAGGAAAAGCCAACAAATAAATGACCTCAAAGTACTCCTCAAAACCTTAGAAAAAGAAGAACAAATCAGCAGCAAACACAGTAGAAGGAAAGAAATAATTAAAATTAGAGCTGAAATCAATGAAATCAAAACAAAAGAAACAATCAAAAAGTTGTCAAAACTAAAAGTTGATTCTTTGAAAAAATAAATAAGATTGATAGACCACTAGCCACACTAACAAAGAGAAGAAGAGAGAGAACTCAAATTACTAGCTTACTTGATGAAAAAAAGGCAACATCACAACAGACACTTCAGAAATACAGAAGATAATTAAAAATTATTTTGAAACCCTATACTGTAATAAAATAGAGGATACTGAAGGCATGATAAATTCCTTAAGGCATATGAGCTACCCAGATTGAATCAGGATGATATAAATAACCTAAACAGACCAATATCAAGTGAGGAAATAGAAGAAGCCATCAAAAGACTACCAACCAAAAAAAGCCCAGGACCAGATGGGTATACAGCAGAGTTTTACAAAACCTTTAAAGAAGAACTAATACCAATACTCTACAATCTATTTCAGGAGATAGAAAAAGAGGGAATACTTCCAAATTCATTCTATGAGACCAACATCACTCTGATTCCAAAACCAGATAAAAATGCTTCAAAGAAAGAAAACTTCAAACCAATATCCCTAATGAATTTAGATGCAAAAATCCTCAATAAAATTCTGGCAAATCGAATAAAAATGTATTAAAAAGATCGTGCACCATGACCAACTGGGATTCATTCATATTTCAATATATGGAAATTAATAAATGTAATTCACCACATCAATAGACTTAAAGATAAGAACCATATGATCATCTTGATAGATGCTGAAAAAGCATTCGACAAAATACATCCCTTTATGTTCAAAAGTCTAGAAAAATTAGGGATAACAGGAACTTACCTCAACATGGTAAAAGCTATATACGCTAAGCCTCAGGTCAGCATCATTCTAAATGGAGAATAATTGAAGGCATTTTCTTTAAAATCTGGAACAAGACAGGGATGCCCTCTCTCACCAATTCTATTCAACATAGTTCTTGAAACACTACCAGAGCAATTAGACAGATAAAAGAAATTAAGGCATAAATATAGGAAAAGAAGAACTTAAATTAGCACTATTTTCTGATGACATGATCCTATACCTAGCAGACCCAAAAAATTCAAACAAGAAACTTCTAGAACTAGTAAATGAGTTCAGCAAAGAGGCAGGATATAAAATCAATACCAATAAATCAAAGGCATTCCTGTATATCAGTGACAAATTCTCTGAAATGGAAATTAGGACAACTACTCATTCACAATATCCTCAAAAAAATAAAATAAATAAAATACCTGGGAATCAACTTAAAAAAAGAGGTGAAAGAGCTATACAATGAAAACTACAGAACTCTGAAGAGAGAAATAGAAGAAAACCTTAAAAGATGGAAGGATTTACCTTGCTCATGGATTGGTAAAATTAATATTATTAAGATGGCCATATTACCAAAAGCACTTTACAGATTCAATGCAATTCCCATCAAAATCCCAATG